TGGTGTAAATTATTGGATTCAACAGCTTCCTATACCGATAATAATGGTGTTTTAGTGTCTTGTTCACTTTTGCTGTAGAATTAACATCACTATAGTCTTAAGTTATGTAAAATGTTGCGTACGCCCAACCACCCCCTACTTCTAAGCGAAATAGGTTGGAAGGTATCTATGGGCCCTAAAACCAAAATAATATCAGCCTTAATGGCACAGATACATTCACTCTTTATTTTCTTCTGGGTCTTGAGTCCTAATATTCCACCATGCGTACCTTCTCACTTTCTCTTTGAACCACATTTTGAATACTTAATCTCTCCCGTTATCATTACGACTACATTATTTCGACTCCTTTGCTATTCATCTTATTAATTGCATCTTGTCATGGCGATATAGTGAGAAAAAGTAATGTGATACACGTCTGTACAAGGTTCTGCATTGATTATAACTAACTGACAAACTACGTGAAGTGTAGAAAAGTCATCACAATAATTTTAATGTCATCTTCTGGCTCTATTTCTACGTTTGTAGGCTTTTAAGATAGTAGACATTATTTAATAAATATTATTTCAGAAGAGTTCGTATTCTATCATATTCTTCCCATTGCCTTGTTTTGATTGGCCTTCCTCAGAAACGTAAGTGTTAATCTTTAGTGCTTCTGGTTACTATACACGTGTTCTCAGCTAGTTATGTCAAACTAAACTGATTAGTTTTTTTTGTTTTTGAATCTTTCCGAATTAAAAATTCCATTCCCGAAACCAGTGGGAATTTGTCAGTCAGTCTGTAATTATCGACTTCACCTTTTATAGTAGTAATATATTTTTTGGACTTGCGTGCTTTTATTAAAATCATAGTGGTGTAAATATAGGGGGTTCTATGGCGTTTTCGTAGTTCGCTTTCCATTTGGTAAGAAAATCAACATGTCTCACACGGCAATTTATATCCTCAGCACAGCATAACGAGTATGTTTCAATGGATTTCACAAATTTTCTATCAGTTATGATGTTTTACCATTTCTTTTTTAGGGTCTGTGTATGGGTCGTCTGGTTAAGAACGTTTCTTTGGATGATATTTGCAAACTGTCAGAAGCAAGACAGGAACGGTAGAATTGTTTTCAGTTGTTCCTAGTAATATAGACTTCTGTTGTTCATTTCTAATGTACAGTACTTCCAAATAACAATCAGATATTTTTCTCATGTTGTTGTTAATTAAAAACTGGGTTCATTTTTGATCAGTTTTAAGATTCGTATCACGTTTTTGAACAAATACATTTAAAAAACAATTGGTCATATTGTTATAGAAATGGTTTCAGAGTCATGGTGGATATTCAAACATCTGTCCGATAAAATATTATCAAAGTGTCTTGCGAGGGTTTGTACGCATAATTCTTAAAATTATAGAAAACATTGTGGTCAATGATCTTTGAATACGTAGGGAACGATCAAAATTTCAGTACTACAGCAACCAATTATACATTTACTGTTGTTCTTAAGTACAATCTTTTTGAAGAACTCAAGAGGGTTCCTTATTTCTGAGAGTTGTGCTAACACTATAAGTTAAATGTAAGTCCAACATTATGCTACTGTCAGCATAACTAAATTCACAAATAAAAATATTTGTATAATTCAATCTAATTTTCCACACGAATGAATTACTATCGATTACAAATCAGTGGGGAGTTTTGGAGTTAATTATTTGTTAATATATACAAAAACTCTTAAGGTAGTAAGGATATTTAGTGGTTAACAGACTTAATTAACGATTAATTACAACATAAAGTCAAATAATGGGCTTTTTCTAATTAATAACTAAATTTTTTTATTTGAACACATAAATATTGATACAAAGGGTTACCAAATACATATACGCCATACAATAACAATGAGAACGTGAAGATATAGAGAATGTAAGATGCTTATGGGAAAAAGGGGAACAGTAACAAATAGAAATAATAATAATTGAAGAAGCAGTTAAGTTAGCAAAGGTAAAACCAGAAATAATTCTTCCTGTTAAAGAAGCTACGTCTATTTTTATGAAGAAAGTAAAATAAAGTTACCGCAGGATCGCCACTGGCTTTCATTCTGACCCATATCTGATAACGTCTCTAGGCACTGTGTTGCAGCATCTCTACTACCCCAACCAGAGAGTCATGAACGACCAACAGAAGCTAGTCATATACAGCTTTGCTTCATACTACGACACTGACCACTTCGCTTTTTCCAACCAGTTCCAGCGTCGGCAAATAATGCAAGACGAGGAATTTTCTGGGACGACATTCGTAGAACATGTCCAAGCCATCGAAGTCGATGTTCCAATATAGCGAAACCAATTGCATTATCATCTCTGTGCCCGAACACACGATGCCGAACCTCTGCATTACTAACATGGTGATGCCACTGGATGTCAACAATCCTTCGGAGACAGCGATGATAGAACACAGAGAGTCGTCTAACGTCCTCAACTCGGAGAGACCAGGTTTCACAAGCACAGAGTAATACTGCTCTCCCCGACGCGTTGTATATCCGACCTTTTACAACCAGACTCACATCACGAAGGCATCAAAGATGGCCCAGACTGTCTTGAGCCGCTTTGGCTTTCACTATACGTGAATCGATCTCATCGCCCACGACACCACCAGTACTTATGCAGCTATCCAGATACACCAGTTTATCGAATACTATTTGCTCACTACTCAGAGTGAGCGCAGGATCAGAGTCCTGCCAGTCTTGTAGAAGTACTTTGCACTTCGAAGTTGCAAAGCACATACCGCACTTACGGACATTGATTGCTAACTGATTAAATGCGGATTGCATGGCTTGGGTATTATCGCACAGTAACTAAAAGGCAATGTCGATTAACTGCTCTCAGAATGCACATATAATAGCAACAACTATTTGAAAATATAAACCATTGCAAGTTGAACTAAGTAGTTTAAAGTGCTGGAAAAATATCAATATTTGCGACCGTCTTATGCACAAAATAAGTAGTCAATCACTGAAAAGTGATCATCTAATTGCAATTAATCTAGTTTCCAAACATTTCTAATATTTTAGATAATCTTGACTACCGAATGACTAATCTTGTGTATTTATGAAACAGACCATACTGTAGGAATAATCTGAATCATCTTGTTGGACATTCGGTCAGCTTCAGACAATTAGACAGTTGGAACGATTATGTTCTAGTTTTACTTTCCACCCATTCAACAGAGGTTACTGAAAAGTAGGAACAATATCATTAATAACATTAAAGAACCGGACGTGAGAAATACAATCGAGAAGGAAAGGTTGCAATTAAAGAATGAAAAGTATGTTCAGAACTTAGCGGCATATAGAGAACTTTTATCACTATAATCAAGTTTGGTCCATGTTGCTTATTTTCCAACCACATAACTATAGCGAAGCCGTAATCTAGGAAATAAAGACGACTTAGAACAGCTCTTCAACGTTGTGGGTTTATTCTGTGCATCTGGTTCCATTTTTCAACCTGCATTTATGCTCTCTCGATGGGAGAAACCAGTTAAATTTTCCGATATATAATTGTAATACGGGTAGTCCAATTTGATTATTATGGTTACAGTTAGTGAGTTTATGTGATTGTTCGTTAATTATATTACCTTCAATCCCCGGAAACATCTATTGTTTAATACTATTCTTGTTTGAGGGTCTTTGGGACATCGACAAACTGTTTCCAGAAGGAAATTAGAAAAACTAACTAATGCCAAATATTTAAAATGTTTACAGTTATTATTAGTGAAATTGAACAAGCAACGTCGATGTTGGAGTACAGGTTCATCCAGTAGGTTTTTACTAAACAAGATGAAATGGGCATCTAAAGCGTCACTAGTAATCACTACTTCAATTCTTTAATGTTTTTGGAGACTGGAAATTCGTTTCAGAAAATCATATTACGTAACATATGATAGAGTTCAAAATAGTTAAGTTCATTCCACTTTGCTAAAATCGAGTCAGTGACTTAAATTTGAGATGACTGTGGCGATATGTATAAAGGTCGTAGCAAAAAAGTATTTACTATAGTTGGGGTAATATAAGCGGAATACAAAGCTTCACTGCTTGAATGAAAAACAAACGTTAAATGACGATGTTTTACTTGGGACACAATATAGTCACGACTGAATTATCTTTCACAATTTCACCAGCATATCTCAACAATGTTCAAACTAGACAGGTGTGAATAAATACTCAATATTTATTCATCATGGTTTTCATAAATGTAACTAGTAAGGTTGTAATGGCGCATTGAATTATCTGTCATGTATATGAGCAATGCATCAATAGTTAAATTCATGAGTCAATTGAAGCTAAGCCACCATGGAAAACTTGGAAGCACTAGACGACTGTTTCGTCATATTGTGGCACTCCTCAGCAGAGGGCATCCATGATCACACCTCGTGAGATTCGAACCCAACACCTATCAGTCTCGCGCACGAGCGCTTAACCACTAGACCATTGAGCAGGCACCCGACGGTGTTAATGTCTAACTTCAAACAATCCACAAAGTTGTGCCACCGTCCACCAGAAGCCAAAACTTATAACGCTGACAATATAGAGAATGAGGTCTCATTGAGCAAATGGAAGAGTATATTATGTACTTCCAAAAAAAACAGAATACCGTTTCAAGCTGTCAGTCAGGAATTAGATCTGTACGTTGCATATCATTGTTGCACTATAAATAGATTGTTTTCATCAAATAATTGTACTCATTTTAATTTATTAGGCTCCCATGGTTTTAATAAAGCAATCTAACAATAATATAGAAGGGAAATAAAGACCATATACAACGATCTTTTCCATGATTAGAATGTGTACTATAAATTCTTAAAGTTTGAATATAGAATCTAATTAACTTTAGAGGATGTGGATTAATATGCTTTTTAGGTCGCCATGCATCTCACTTGCAAACTGATACAAATTGTTCAAAACTGGATTCTGATTGGCTACTTGCAAACTACCAATCGACATGAGGAAAAGGATTTGGATTTCCTTCTTATGGAACATGGAACCTAGAACAGCTAAAACAAGATTATTTTAAAAGTTCATTAAATCACCGAAAAAATGAACAAAACTAAGAACTATTTAAACGTAATTTTTGTAGCCTCTCTGTTATTATCATTATTATTACTGACTTGTAATACATCACATGTTCAAAAAAATATTTCTCAAAGTTCATCTACTTGCCAATTACAACTAGAATGTATCGGAGCTAGTTCATCCGGATATGGTCGTGTACGCATACCTGTTCGATCAGCTCGAGGGCCAGCTGGACCAACTGGGGAACAAGGAAATCCTGGACCACCAGGTCCTCGCGGAGAAACAAGTAAGTTAAAAGAAAGTTTAACGATGTGCTATTAAATTATTCATGAAAATGAATTGCAATTTTAACGTCTAGATCTCAAAGCAAAAAACTATAGAAAACACTAAGATATGTCGCATCTTTTATGTTTTTAAAACTAACTTTAAAAATGTTAGCTCTTCATGGTTTTTAATTGCATTGACGCCTTTACCAGCCAATTTTTAAACCATGCATCTAAGAAAAAGTATAGATTGTAAACGTTAGTTATCCTGGTGATGATTTGACAGATTTACAATCGAAATTCCAGCCTTCATACATGAACTCCCAAAAACTATAATGTTAGACGATTATTTTCATTTTCATCGCTGTATGGAGTTTCAGAGAAGAAACTCTCATCACCATTCCTGGCGATTTACCCAGTTTAAAAATCATGCCTGAATTCTGATAATTTGTTGATTTTGTTAAAAACAGAATATAAAAAGATGAATGACGATTGTTTGTAAACAACGTTTTGATATTTGGTAGTTGAAGATATACAATGTTTAATAACTTAGACTAGTGATTATACTGAAAGTCAGTGAATTTGATCCATCAATAGGAACTGAACTGACATTATATAAGCTATCATTCAGTAATGAGACTGTTAATTTTACATGCCGCAATCTATAGTAAAACATAAAAGTATTTTATTATTTAGTATATTTGTCAAGAATGCCCAAACATCCTTAAGTATAGAATACAAAAGTCTGTGAAAATGAAGAAATGTTGCATAATTTAATAAAGCAATCAAAAACTCTAAAGGTTCAAGTGCTTAATATATGTTGTTTTATAGTTCCTAGGGTTTTTAGGAACTGATCAGTGTAGAAATGTAAACGGTAAGCGCCTTTTTTACAGAAAAGAAAAATGATGATTGATATAATAAATGACACTTACGATTTATTAAGTTAGAAAGAGTGCTAGGGTCGAAGTGTAATATGGAATTGATCATGACTCTTTTGTACACAGAAAACAAGTGTGGATCGGAATAACTATCACCTTGGGCCACCTTAATATGCATTTATCAGTTTACCTGCTTTTGTGGAGTAGATGGTTTTTTATATACAAAGCGTTCACATGATAAACGACTATTCCAGCATGATAGAGCGTGGCTATGTAAACGGGATTTCAAGTCAATCACTACCCCATTCCTCATAGTTAACTCTGGTCAGTAACTTGTGCGCAGCTGTAGCCTTAACAGTCGCATGATCGGAGGTAATATTTTCTTCATTAAATTGTCTATAATTCTTTTTCAACGACTCAATAGGCTTAGGATGCAATTCATAACATCTAAATGTACAATGTTACTCCAGGATTAGCTTGCGTCATCACCTGAATTAATGATAGGGAGTGATGTAGTTGGACGCACATATTGAGAAGGCTTGATTGGCTTTTGGAGACTTGAGTACTTTGTGGGGTTAGTGAAATATCCGTCTTTCAAACAAAGGACAATCTTACTATTTAGCAATTTGCTCCGTTCTAATTTGTCCACGTGAAACACGGCCATTAAGTGTAGAGAACATTCATAGGTTAGTGATGCTCGATTATAGTTATCTTCCAGTAAGCAATGCTTGGGCTAGGAATGGGATATTAGGTATGGATGGGGAGTCGATTGAAGAGATAGCAGACCTTGATCAACTGAGGTGTTTGGGATGTGTGTAGCGTATGCTATCCATCACCTACCTTGACGGGCGACGCTATCTCGTATAGGAGTAGAATGGAATAAGCCTATGGGAGGCCAAACCAAAACTCGGTATCAGTCCATAAAGTCACTGGCAGGTGAACTAGGCCATTTCAACAAATGTATACTACCTTATTGTGATCTGCGTGATTATAGTAACTAGTGGTTACAAACGTTGAATGATTTGGCTGAAAATCATTTGCAACGGCATAAGTGCACCCATTCTATATCTTTCTTCAAATTTTGAAATTCTAAATTCCCCATAATTTTTGTTTTGTATTTATATGTTACTACATTATATTTCTTAAATTGTATCTTCGATACTTAATCTTTTATATTACCACTGATAATGTTACTATCCCTACTGCTCTGAAACTTTCCCTACCAGTTTCATCCCACTGTACTAATTGAACATGGTAACTTGAACCGATTTACACGAATACCAGGCTCTACATAGTATTTTAATAATTTTAATAACTGGAATAAATTAAAACGATTATCAATAATCGTCACCATAAACAACTTACATCAGGACAACTGCAAAGTATACGCTTTTTTAAAGTCATAGACAAGTATTATTAATCAGCATCACCGAATCTTACCAAGTGTTTCCTATTATTTAACACCATAATCAATAATTATATATATATAATTTCTTTTATAAAACTACTATTAATAATGATTTAATTACTAGAACTATACTACTAAGATATAGTTGATGGGGGTTTTGTTGAGACTTTAATAATTTCAATAGTTAAAATCATGAGTCAATTGAAGGTAGACCACTATAGAAAACCTGGAAGCACTGGAAGGCCGTTTCGTCCTAGTATGGGACTCCTCAGCAATGCGCATCCACGATCCCGCCCTCCTCGTGAGATCCGAATCCAGGACCTATCAGTAAGCTGATATCTCACAACAGACCCGGTTGAACTCCACTGGTCATGACTTCTTACTAGAACTGACTTCAAGAAGTATTTCCTTTTAAAATAAAGTTTATAACTTGATGATGCATTTTATTTACAGAATAAAATAAAATATTGACATCATTATCTACTTAATAAATTTGATTATAGAAATATCTAATCAATTCTATCTGGAAACTTGATTGATTTTTGTTTAGTTTTCATTAAGAACTGTAAGGTTAATTATTAACTTAAAAGTATAATATAAATAAAAAAATTGTTAATTAGCTTAAGTGCAACCTCTGATTAAGATGTGTATTTTATCACTCATTTAAAAATGAGTGATGATGAAGACTAGGCTAGAATATTGTTAAAATTGTATAGTTAGTTATTCCATACAAATGTATGTCATTATTTCTTGGTCCCTTCAAGATTGTTTGTACAAAATGTAGTTTATAAATAATTAAATATTATCCTGATAAATTATAGTAATCAATTTAGATGAATAAGTAATCAGTATTGTTACTATAAACCAGTAGGTGAAATTGGGTAATTTTTCTATATGGTCTTAATGCATTAATAATTATTACTTACTTACTTATGCCTGTGAATCCTAATGGAGCATAGGCCGCATTCTCCAACTCACTCTGTCCTGGGCCTCCTTTTCTAGTTCCATCCAATTCTTGTTCATTTTTCTCATGTTTATTTCCATTTCCCGTCATAATGTGTTCTTTGGTCTTTCTCTTTTCCTTTGGCCTTGAGGATTCCATCTGAGGGCTTGTCTTGTGACGCAGTTGTGTGCTTTCCTCAATGTGTGTCCTATCCACTTCCAGCGCTTCTTCCTGATTTCTTCCTCCGCTGGGATCTGGTTTGTTCTCTCCCACAGTAGGTTGTTGCTAATAGTGTCCGGCCAACGGATCCGAAGTATTTTGCGTAGACAATTGTTAATAAACACCTGTATCTTCTGGATGATGGCTTTCGTATTTCTCCAGGTTTCCGCTCCATACAGTAGAACTGTCTTGACATTTGTATTGAAAATCCTGAACTTGGTGTTGGTTGACAGTTGCTTTGAGTTCCAGACGTTTCTCAGTTGTAAATATGCTGTTCTTGCTTTGTCGATCCGCGCCTTCACATCTGCATCAGATCCACCATGTTCATCAATTATGCTGCCCAGATATGTAAAGGTTTTTATATCTTCCAAATCTTCTCCGTCAATTGTGACTGTGATTGGTGCATGCTGTGTTGTATTGGAGTATCTTGCTTTTCCCTCTGTGTATATTGAGACCTACTGCTTCTGAGGCTGCTGCTACACTGGTCGTCTTCTCCTTATATTATTATATTAATAAAAATTTTTTTAATGAATCAATTACTTAAGTTCTGTGTTATGAAATTGCATATAACAACGGATATTCAATCAACAGTCTTGATGGATTGAACTCCTAAGATATTTTCAAAATATAGAATTATAATTTAGCTTTATTAATCAATTTAAAATTACATATTCTGAGATTAAGTTTAATCGTAAACTTACGTCAGCTTTAGATACACTAGATACTAGGAAACAGTAGATAACTGTTGTAATGTAGGACTTTTCATCAGAATGATTTCATGAACACTATAATGATAATAATAATAATGGATTTAATCAGTGTTATGTGTTTAATACAATGAGGAATTCTCGACTGAATGTTATCGATCCCCAAACATTCATGTCTTTCAGCGATGACATTAATGTTAATGCAGTGAGTTCAACATTCCAGCCTCAGTTATTCAGTTATCTAACGTTTGTGAGTAGTTGCCCCACATACGACTTAGATGAATATATTGGTTACAATTATCCTACGGGGCTTGAGAAATTCCATTTTATAGATAGCTACTATTGAGTACATATTTATTGTCGTTAAGTTCATAATGCTAAGTGTTTCAGTGTTCCTTGATTTTCAACCGTTTCCTCAAGTCATCAGTTCTCGATGTAAATCCGCTTTAAAATATACGAGTCTCCACAAAACCATCTGATGTAATATCTGTTTATTCGTCAAATTGCTTTTTTTTATAGCAAAATTACAACCTATATGGATTCCTAGACCAGTAGAATATCAAATAGCTTTTTATACAGGTTTGTCAAAAAGTATTGAGAATAAACCAGTGAACAAAAATTGTCAATTAATTTTTGAATCAGTTATGTTGAATCTTGGCAACGGATATGATAATACTACAGGTATATTCACCGTTCCTGTTTCGGGTGTTTATATATTTGTTGTAGTTATATCAGCACAAAGTTATGAAAAGGTAAGTGGATTATTTAATGATCTGCTTTTTCATTTTTATATCAATCTGACAATTAACAACGTTGATTTAGTTAAAAATGTTAAAATAGTAAATTGACTCTAATAGCATCCAAATGATTTCCCACTTAGATGAGATTCATCCACATACAATAGTTTGTGTTACTTATATAGTTCTATTTCACCAGATCGATTTTAAATCATTTCAGTTCAAGGTTTCATACAATATTGCTAACTAGATCATTTTACATGTGTATAACTGAGAATCATTTATAAAGTATTACTAATAGTGTTAGATGTACTTCATTATTATCTGTATCTATCTACTTTTTATTAAGAATTTAAAACAATAAAATCGGTTATCTATGTAAAAGGCTAAACAATTATTCACTTTTCTCATTAGTGTTCTTTTTTTGTTAACTACAAAAATTGAACTAATTTCATTTAATGAAGTGAAGATTTACAATGCTTATGATCCAATTAGTCATATTTTCGAAAACGTCAGATTTAAATAACTTTCATCAACTCTTCTTAGTGAGATTTAAAATTTACATTTGATAATATACTGAAAAGCCGTACTATAATTCATATACATTAATTAATTTTCCTTTTATCTACAAATCAGTCTTGTGTAACTCCTTACTATATCACGCTAAGTTCTTTTTATTTAAAAGGAAAATAACATTTAGTTTTAAAGAAAATTTATCCCCTATCTATACTCAATGGTATTTAAGCCACTAGTAAATTTCATTAGTTATTTTGATATGTTAAATAGATATATATATTAAGTAATACAAATAGAAAAAGAGTTTGCAAATGACTATGTAATAATGTAAAAGATTAACAACGCAGGTTGGTATTTTCGGTGTTGTGTTTTCTGATAAATATATGTTGACGATGTTTATAACGATACTGAAACTATTAAGCTTGGAGAACAGAACATCACCACAATTCAATTTTCATCATAACTTGGCAGTCATTCATATAATAATTATGCATCTAATTTTATGACCAAAATAATTTTAGAAAATACCATGTTATTTTAAGTAATATACATCAATATACGAATATTAACTATCCCGTGCGTCTAGGTTTTCAATAGTGGTTTAGCTTAGATTGATTCGTGAACTCAACTATGAAAATACTATAATCTCCATAAATCCCCGTGTTTCATTGATAAAAATAGAAATCAATAAATTTTTTAATGTTGTAAAATTTATTTTAAATTAGTATTAATATAAAGCTTCATTTAGATTATAATAGTTATTTTAAGTTGATCTGTTAGAAACAACGGAATAAGTGAACTTTGTTTGCTTTTACAAGAACAAAAGTCAATATTGTTAGAGAATTTAGTCCATAGTAGTATTAACTTCACTATATATGCTTATAAATACAAATATAAAATGAAAATTAATATTCATTTCGGATACTCAGCACTACATTCCATTGTCATTGAGAAATTATCTAAAAGATATTCACATTAGAATGATCAAGTTTTTATATATAAGCTGGAATGTAAATCAAAAACACAACACATAGCTTTCAATCTTGTAAGTTTATATTAAATCTGATTTAAAATATCTAAACATAATATTCCCTTAAAAATTATATTGTTTTTATTTCTAATATGTACACTTACAAATCAGGAGTTCTTCAGTTGTAGATTTAATTTAAAGACTAAACTACTTTCATACAAACAGGCAATACAGTATTTAGTAACTAATCCAGTTTATATATTCTTTTATCAGGACAGAGAAATAAGCTACATTAAGTGATAAGAAAAAAATCATGGTAGTCTTCTATTAATTAAAAAATGAAGTTTCGCATAATCTTTACGTATATGATATCTTACAATTTGTCAGTTAGACTATAAAGAATTAAAAGACCATGATTAAGTCCACTTTCAAAAAAAAAAATAGATTTTCATTAAGATTTGCTAAGGAAGATATGAGGCAAAAACACTTTTCACGGATTAAAGACGTAGTATCGAAGAAAATTATATTTATGAATGTTGACTTCAAAGAAGATAGTTCTAGCGAATTACTTATAGTATCTGGAGAGGTAATTCTAAATGTTACTTTTCACAGTAAATCTTATAGTGCAATATAATAATCCGTTTACATGCTTTCAAATTTAAAATAAACTATCATAAAATACCAACTCAACGTATGTTTACCAGTTCATTAGCTCTTTGATAGCTGGATATAAGTAGAATTTTCTTCAAAATTACTTACTCATGGAATCCAAAGACAGCTTCCAGAAGGGCTTATTAGAAGGTAAAGTAAATCAATTGCATCCTCTATTCTGCAGGATGTACTAAGTTTAGGAAATCCAACCTCAGTTGCAAGCTGAAATCTAAGATTTTAGGAGATTAACAATAAAACCCAAGTTACGTTAGTGAAGTTTCATCGTGAATTATTTTTCTAACTTATTTTGAGTTCAAGACTGGGTCATTAGAGAAATGTAAACCTATAAATTAGTAAGCTAGTCTCTTACACCGAAGGAGAATAAGAGTTTTAATCTCATTTTGCATTGTTTATTTGAATCTTCCTATTGATGTTTAGGATCGCTAATAATCAATCTTTTAAACAATACAAAATGAATTTAAACTTCACCTCATTGCACAAGCTGATGGCTATCATAACTCAGTAGCTTAGTAGATGAGGCGATGGAGTTTGAAGCGAACGGTACTAGGTTCGAGTCCTAGAGTGAATATCAACTATGGGATACAGGTAAATCCAGATGACGAATCCCAAATGGGACGAGACGCGCGTCGTTAATTACCCACTATCCATCTTTACTTACAATAAAAGTTATGTTACGAGGATGATTTTAGAATTTTTGTTACTTTGACTAAATGTAATTGTTAGATAATTTACATTCATAGCGTACTATTTATTATGCTCTTAGGTTCTATATCAATATAAGTTGTAAGAATTGTATTGTTGAATAATATCATGTCAAAACTAGTCTCTTTTTTCCAAACTAAAATTTACTAAAAATCTTTATTTCTTTCGTCATTTTTCCCATAGAACGGAAATACTTAGTTTTAATACTAAATATTTTTTTCAAATCTGTAAAAATTTGTCTTTTTTTAAAAAAAAATTTAAAACAAACTTTCAAGTGTTTTTTTTTCAGAAGAAAAAAAAGAGACGAAAAAGAAAGTTGATCACGCGAAGAAAACATATTCACTCTTAGTTGAAAATTAAATTTGACACAAGTACATGGTTATAAAGTGTAGAACTAATAATAATAATAATAATAATAATAATAATAATAATAATAATATTGATTAAAAGATTCTTATTTGAGATAAACTAAAACGCTTAAGAAAATCATATTTATTCTATTTCGGTTTTTAAAAAAAAAAAGAATTACAAACAAAAACTTGTTTATTCATCTCTATCAATATGCGTATAACCAAACAAAGAGATTGGTTGACTATTCATTGTACAATCTCTGATTTTATCACTGACAATATTTATAGGTTAAATAAATGTTCTAGTGAAATAGAATTGTATTTCCTACTTCTACAGACTTTATAAGTATAAAAATGCATTTCCATATGTTTACATACATACAAAATGCACACAAACGCATATATATATATATATATATATATATATATATATATATATATATATATATTCCTTTTTGTTTAGTGTTGTATGTGTGATTTACCCCTGTAAGATAAACAATAAAATGACAAATTTTGACTAATGCTTTTGTTGCATGTTAAAAGCTATCAAATTATAAGTTGAAAAGAGCAGAAAATGAATTCACATACATATTTACAATTTTCACTGGAAATAAACTTAATTTCATTGTATGAGATAAATTTTTGGGATAAAATTCATTTCTTTAATTTATTTTTAATACTTATAACTGTCAGCTTCTACCCTCTTTTCTTTTTTTTTTTTTGAAACGAAAAGTTTTACGAAAGGAATTGATGTACAAATAATCAAAATTAGAGTATAATTAATTTACCGCTAAGTTAAAACAACAAGATAATCTACTAGGAATGTTATGTTGTTGATATGATGAAATTTGTAGACAGATTTTAATAAGGAAAGATATGAACTGGAGAACTGTTAAAATATGAGTAAAAATGGATAGCTGTTTTGGTTCTGATTTGGGATCAGTGTTTAGTGTAACGTGGAAAGCGAATTATCTGTAGATAACTGATTTCATATTTAGTGATTTGTTTTTAACTTGTGATACTGTGAGGTCATGACGTGAGTTGGTAATTATTTCACTGTTCACATTTTTGAACTCCACTAATCAAAATTTTGGTGGAGTTTCGTTCTCTGAGTTGGATGGTTTGGTCGTGGAGCTTTTATCGTTCTTCTAAACACATATGGAGAAATTCAAACACTTCACTTCTATTTGAAGTTTGTGCTGATGATGTCGTTCAGAAGAACGATGAAAGCTCCACGACCAAACCATCCAGCTCAGAGAACAAAACTCCACCAAAATCATCCACCTGAGCTACAAATCTTCTCCAGCATCTCCACTAATTAAAAACTTGTTATTATGACTTGGGAAATCTTGTTGAACATAAATGATTAGAGGGAACACAATTATTGTTTGGTATGGGGTTTGTGAATATAAGTTAATTCTGAGGATATTTTTCATTAGCGATACGACAAAAAGAATATTATTTGGGTAATTTACATAACTCTTTTAAGTTTTAAGCCTCGTATGAACTAAATGATTTTCTTCACTAATCTGAGATGTGTAAAAAGTTTCTGATGAACAAAATCCAACCGAATAATGTGCTAATTACAGTAGATTACCTAATTCAATTGAAGAACTATATCAATGAACTGTGATACCAGTTTTATTTAAAAAAATAAACCTATTTAAATGATAAATAAATAGTGATAGTTACTGAGTTATTAAATATTTTAGACATGTTACATGCAGTATCGAAACAGTTTCTAAATCTTCCAACCAGAATAAGAACATTAGATCAATCTGGCTGTTTGAACAATAATAAAACATTTATGGTTCATTTTAATCTATAAATATATTCTAGTAGTTGAATGTTTTATTGTAATAGTGAAATTTGAAATGCAAGATAAACTCTATAGTTTTCATCTTGAAATTATGAATGAAATACTCAATTTCAAGCCTTTCACTTTGAATAAAGAAAGAACGGAGATCATAGCAGAATTATCTTCAATTGCTTAAAACCTAAAGAACAACTATTTAAGTTTGTTCAATCTACTTGACTTTTTTTTCGGGTCAATAAACGATGTAAATTCGCCAGTAGTTCATGTATATTTAAAGCAATCAAAACGACTTCAGTTCCTGTTATTGGTTGAGAAATAAGATATAAATCAAAAGTTAGGTTTTTATCACAATTTCGATGAGTACTTTGCCTAATTCACGTAACTCAATACTGTTTAGTGCTATAATCATCTTAGTAAGTGTTAGTGTCGTAGTAATACTCGCACAATATAAGGACCAGTTAAAATTAATCTGGATATAGTGATACACAGAACAAAATATATACATTTTTTTAGTAGGTGTCCTAATCTAGAAACACACGACGCTTTGTTATTGGATATGACTGTTATCCACAAAATCACTCCAAGATACAAATTAATACACCTTTAGTGTCAACCACCACAAACAAGAGTTGACATCCACCGCTTATACATTAAATGAATTCGGCTGTTTCACAAATATCTGTCTAAGATTGATAGATCATTCAGTCTTCGTGGATAATGGGTTACTTTTAGTGGAGAAATCCAGATTACCACTCACATTGTTGAAATAATTAATTCAATTGTATCAGGTAGTTTGCCAGTCAATATGAATGAGCAGCACATACTAGAGGAATGTACACAACTTATACTCTTAAAGTATTATGTCAAAATACCATCTGCGTGACTACTCTTTCCGAAATCCTCTCGTAACTTATCGTCTATTGTCACAAGTTTCGAAGTCTATATAGACCTTCTGCATATGGTTTCTTACATTATATAATTATGATATCTGTATGAGATTGTAAATTTAAATTTCTCGACTGTTATCAATTCTTAAAATAAATCAACTTGAATTAAACACTAGCAACCTCAGAACAAAATAGCTATCGTCCCTAAATTCAAATGTACTACAAGCATAAAATTGAGGCACACAACACTTTATTTTCATATTGATAGTTTATTTACCAGGTATTTTGCCTGTAGTCATCAGTTAAGAAATAATGAATTCAATAATCACCGGAATGTCACTAAATTGCAGATAAATAGGAACGGGAACCCTCAAGGCCAAAGGAAAAGAGGGAAACCAAAGAACACATTACGACGGGAAATGGAGACAGACATGAGAAAAATTGGATAGAGTTGAAAAGGAAGGCTCAGGACAGAGTGGGTTGGGGAACACTGGTCGGTGGCCTATGCTCCATTGGGAGTAACAGGCGTAAGTAAGAAACGGGATTCAGATAACTGAAAGAAGTCAAGTAAGATCTCACATCATCTCAGTTCACTTTGTATATCGCAATTCACTGACATAATACACTAGACCTCGAACACATTGCCATTCGTCAAGCGTTCGTAATAATTAGAAAATTGGTGATGGCTCGGATATCAAGTTACATGCCATTTAATGAAGCAGCTAGAAGAGTTACTGTTATGAGTTTCAGACTATAACCAATTATCCGTACTTAGCAAATTGCTATTTGGATATCATTTTATCTGGGTTTCAAAATATTTTATGTGCGAATCAGCAACCGACAATATTTTGGCATCCAAGTTTTTGGAGCAAAAATTTTGCAGGGCTCGGAAATACGATAAGACAGTCTACATCGAAGTACGTAAAGCAAAACCTCGAACCGCGTCCAAACAGTTGACAGTTCAGTAGTCACAAAATCCGTAGATTTGCCGCGAAGCAAACCATACAAATACATAAAGATAAATAAGACTGAAAACATGACTAATCGATTATATTACATGAAGTTCATTGCATAAAATTAGATTTTAAAGTAATTAGTCTTATATCTATAAAAAATGGACTTTCTAAAATCTGAATTCATCTTTCGGATTTTATGCTCAAAAAGGAGGGCTAGTATGATTTCACGTAATTCGGTGAAGGGTTATATAATCTTTAAAGTTCAGAAATTTCAACCATATACTAGTTATCTATCACTTATAACCTAGTTTAATTACTTTTTATCATGTGTAACTTTTGTCTATCTGCAAATAATTTTTTTTAAATATATTTAGGCAGGCGTACGACTACTACAAAATGGCAAAGTTGTGTTACTTTCATGGTGTGAAAGTACATTTTGGGCAACTGTAACTAATCAAGCTATTATTCAATTAAATAAAAATGATCAAATATGGTTAGAATGTAGAGATGAAGCTTATCGTTTACATGGACATATGTATAGCAGCCTATCTGGTTATCTTCTTTATCCTCATGACATATAATCGTGACAACACGAGAATCTTTTCTTCTGTGTGTAACTTCTGTTTAGTTAAATGTAAATCATTCAAATAATTATTCAGTGGTATGATCTACAATCTTCTATCACATACTTATGTAACGAATTTTTGTTACCACATAATAATTATACTTTTATTAGACTCAATTTTGTGATGACAAATAAAATGAGTACATTAATCGACAAACAAGCTAATGAAGTATTAAATATTATACAGAATAATTAAGTGATAATACTGCAAAGATGTGATTCTTATGAATACACTGAAAAGAAACGAGTCTAGTATTTACATGTTTTGCATCAATCAAATATAAAATCACTTAAATGATTGTGTAACATTTTCACTCAAATAACCGGGAGATCTATAGTTTCATTCAAAAACTTTTGTAACTGTTCGAGTAGAAAGCAGAGTACTCAAAAGATTTGAAGTTCATATACCTGTTTTTCAGGGGTAGATAAAATCCACGGAAAAACTATACTATACTGAGAAAGCAATCATCATAAAGCTAGAGACTTCAGGCATTTTGAACAAAATTTAAAAGTAGTGCCAATTTGTATCCAACTCATGAAGAATCTTGTAAAAAGTACCTTCCTTTATTGCACACAATTTAGAATTGATGCCATCAACAGTGAAAACACCATAATGGAAAGAGGAACTACAAAAAGTGTTTAACCCTGATGCAGATATTATATGAAGAATAATTTTAATAATAATTGGTCCGTTCCTCTTTTTCTGAATTAAATCCAGTCACTACTGATGTACTGAATGATAAGCACTCTTGAATCATATAAACTGATTGATGAAGTAGTTAAGAATTTTGTTTATCGAGTAGTAATCTCATAACACCATTTCAACGGTCTTTCAATGATTCTGTACATAAATATTGTGATAGTGAGAAAGCACATATACATGAATCGAAAGTCATGGACACAGACTGGTCTTTATCAAATGAATGAGTTTTATGGCGATAGAATTTCGATTTTGACAGTTGTTTACTCATGAGTATAGTCTTTATGCTATTTTCTGAGTTGACCAAAGTCGTCAGTATCGTATACTTTCATCATTTACACAAAAATTTTAAGTTGATTTATTTAATATCCTTCAAATTAGTAAAACAACGTCCTTTAATGAAGGTAATAATGATCAAAATATGAAATAAAGTAAATGATAGATATTTATTAAACTGTCTCTCATTTTATGTAACCATTAAAAGTATTCTTATATTCGTCAATATGAGGTTAAATTCTTTCAGGTATGATAAATTCACTAATCTATGATTCCCTACATTATTAAATCATTTACAGTAATTATTATTGTTACAAGGGTAATAAACTTCAGAATGGGATGAATATAAAAACTGAAGACGTTTAATGCTTGTTATCTACCATTAAAAAGTGTAAACAATTCAGTAAATTGAACTTCTAATAAACTGCAGTAAATTATTGAATAAAATAATAGAATTTAAAACAAAATACACATTAACAATAAATAATTAACTTATATTGATAGACAAATAGCTGGGAATATTGAACACATGCATATGATGGAAAGCGAAGACACAATTGCACGACTAAACTCACAGAAACAATCTTTTACTATCCTTAACACTTTTACATTGAAACATGTAACGACAGTTCGTCGTTGGAAAATCTTTCTCTGAATAAGCGAATATTTAAATACTTTAAAAAAAGAGAATGTGACTTATACAATAGATAAAAACTGTTTAACATTTTTTTATACACAAATTAGGAAGCAAATGATGTTATTCAGACAATATTTAATCTTTTCATATCTGATGGTGATGATAAATACAACAAAAGAAAAAACATCACGGTTTACATTTCCTACAGGATAACACGACGTGTCAACCACCACATCAATAATGGTTGAATGAATGCAATCAGAAGTAGTAAATATAATCGGCGTTTATTACACTCAGATGGATACGCTTCAACATGTGGAAGAATTTTGAGTTTGAGGCTTCTTATCTGAAAATAATTAAAATGAAAAAAAACAAGGTAAATTTACAAACTGTAACAGTCAGTGGTGTAGGATGAAAAGGATAAAATGAGTACCTGAAAAAGTAACATTCATAGCTTAGTATTTGGTGTTTTCTAACTTTAATATTCGATTATGAACCACTTATTCGGACGCTTAGTGGATCATTTACTTACGCCTGTTAGGTTCCGTGGAGCACTGACTGCCGAACAAAACTCTATAACTAACTCTGTCTTGGGCTCTGCTTCCCAATTTTTGTCAATTGCTATTCATTCCCTTCATGTCTACCTCAGATTCCCAGCGCAATGTGTTCTTTGATCTGCCGCTTTTCCTTTTACCTTGAAAACAACGAGTTATCACTTGCCTCGTGATCCAGTTTGATGATTTCCTCGGTGTATGTCCTATCCACCTCCACCGTCTATTCTTAACATACTCTTCAACTAAAGGTCGATTTGTTCTTTGTCACAGTAGATTGTTGCTAATGATGTTTGACCGATGGATATGGGGTATCTTGCAAACACAATTGTCTATAGATGGCTGTACTCTCTTGATGATGGTTGTAGTAATTCTCTCTTCGTACAATAAGACTTTCTCGACGTATATATTAAAAAATCATAAATTCAGTGTTGAATGACAGTTCTTTTTAGTCCCAGAATAAATAAATCCATACATGCTTAAGTTGTATAAGTGTTTGGAGATTAATAATTGACCTCTTAGTCAATCAAACGCAGAGCAGAACTGACACAAGTGCATTGGTTCAAGTTGTCGTACTGTATTAGTACAATTTGACAGAATTGTCAAGACGAATACTAAAGTATTAAAAGTTGTGACAGTATTAGTGCTAACAGAAAAGGTTAGGGATAATAGATACGATTCTAGAAAATATGGAATTATAGGATGATAAAAAAATTCGAGATGGTTTAGGAATTTAAAATATAAGGAAAGACGAAGAGTGAATGCATCTCAGCCATTTTATCCCAAGTTTTTAACGACTACTTCCGATAATTCCGCGGACCCTCACTACTCATTTCGACAATCAATCGCTTCATTGACTAACTTTGGTTTGACCACCTCCAGATTTCTTCTACATTACTTCGACTACAGACAAATGTTTACGTCAAGGTAGGTGGTTCAGCGCACATAATACATATTCCAATCATTTCAGTTGGGGAAGATTTGCTGTTTCAACAACCGATTTCCCATCCTTAACTAGTACCCTGAGCCTCACTCGGTAGCCCAAGCATACACAAGCAATGTTTCAGAGGTACTTATGACTAAATACCAGTAACCAACGTATATTCTCTATTACGAAGACCATTTTTCACAACCACAAATTAAACAAAGCGAACTATTGACTGTTATACATATCCTCTACTTGGAATATGAATATCTCGCCTGCGCTAAAAGCGGCTCAAGTTGAGAAAATATAAAAAAATTTCTGAATCCACGACGAGATTTCATCGGGCACCAACCCAAAATAAGTTGAGTGATCTACACGTGCAACCACTTTGCATCTAATCGTTTGATGCAAACTAGTCCTAAAACAACATCTTGAATTTAGCACGGGAGAAAAATGCATCCAAAAAGTGCTTGAATTTTTGCTCATGTATTTTATATTTGACTTTTGAGTACTGAACGTTTTTAAATTGATTAAACAGATAAAATGACGTATTCACTTAAAAATTCAAAAACCGTAGTTTTGGCTTTGCTGGTTTCTTCTAAATGAGTTGATGTTGTGCAGCAAATGGGAACATACATAACTTATCATGTGGCATGTGTAAAAGGTTTGCCTAGCATTCATTTATATGGATTTACAAGTTGTGACATGACTAGATACTGTTATATAAAATCTCAAGAACAACGTATTGTGATGGTTAGGAAAAGTAAGTTCTAATATTAAAAAAACCAATTTTCTTTTTTAAATTGTTTAACACCACAGAAATATAATTTTTGCTAGTTTTAATCATGTTTAATTTCATTCAAATCATTATTAATAGAAAGTGCAAGTTAATGTTGGTACATTATTAAGAATAGCACATCATAATAAGACTTTATCCGCTGGAGATCAATAGAAGAGATTATTACAACAAAAACTTTAACACAAAAATCTATAAGTGAACTCACGAGGAAAAATGCCAATGCTAAACTAGTATACAGTAAACTAAAATAATAGCCTGGTCGATCCAAACCAATGTAACTAATCAACACAACTATCATGCTATAAAAAAATAAAAGAGTTGTAAACAACGAGTTAGAACACTGTGAAATGATCGGTAACATTATTTCATACCACGAATTCAGATTAAACAGATCTTATAAGACAGATTTAGGTAATTCAAACAAACGACAGTGATTTAGATTGTTTTAAGATAAACTAAATGACGAGGATTTTGGAAACAATTGGTCTCACGTTCATCCCGAGAACAGAAAAGCTAACAGGGTTTCGATGAGAAACCGAGGAAACTTACTGGTAATTTCCACAAGACGAACAAATGTTGAGTTATCATATACATACTGCAAAACACTGATAATTTATAATGAAATGCTTGTTTTTCAAACTTCGTTTGATTATATAAATATATAAATATACAGATTTTGTCAACATCTTAAAGTATGAGTTTTTCCAGTAAGTTAGTCTTCTTGAATGAAAAAATACTAAGAGTTCAAAATCCACAATGAACTTGAGATTACTAAAACAGTGATTTAACAATCAAAGCAATAGATACACGTGTATATTATATCCGAAATGAGAATAGTAAGCACCATTACGTCTAACTGCTATCATCTTTACAATTATGTTCACTTTCAGTGCTAGGATATTAATATTAGAAGTGGACCTCGGGTGTCTTTTTCAATAACTTCGATAATCTTAACTTTGAAATGTCAAAATAAATTTTATGTATACCGATTTAACAATACAGGTTTAACTGTGTTTTTTAAAATTATAAGTCAACAGAAAAGACGAGTGTTAGTTTTGTCATAAAATGAATAGTTGTAAATGAATATCACCTAGTGAAATTCCTATAATCTCTGAGTATTATGATAAACAATAAATGCAACATTTTCTAAAATAATACTTACTAACCAAGCAAAATTTCATGTAATGGGGATTTCATAAGTGTACGAAGATTGGTATTAAACATTCAAACAACCACATAGACTATCTAAATGTTGCTGTCTCGCCGATAAGGGTTTAAATGAGCTACACGTGATTTTGGTTACTGGCTAATGTATCTGTATTTTTCAGGGTGTTCAGACCATGAAATATCTTAGTGTACTATTAAGACAAACAACTTGTTGAAAGTTCATTATTAAATTCTATGATTATTAACAGAGAAATATAAATACGATTAATTATAAACAAAAGTAAATAAATTGAAGCACTAACCTGACAAATTTATAACCACAATAGGCAACTATATCTAAATAAGAAATATTGTTCTGAATATTGAGGATATAGATTGCAAAAAGAGATAATAAAACTTCAAGCAATAACCAGCCAAAAGCTTCACTAGATAAAATCCCAAGGTACTCTGGTGAAAAACGACCTTGAAATCCAAATATAACACCACTCAGAAGTATGTATGTGATAGTAGCCATCAAAGGAATATACAAATCAGGAGCATTGATATCATCACCTGGAGGAACAGGTCCAGCAGGATCATAATTTACACCCCATTTCTATTATCAAGTGAAAATATTAAAAAAAACAGTATAAACGAATAAGTTACATAGATGCAATAATGAAACCGATCAACAAAGAGTGGATAAAATGTTTAGTTGCATACATAATCTGTTGCAACTCAGTAAATAAGTACATATAATCTATTTGGTTATGAGCCATGTTTTGAGGTCTGGTAAGAATATGTTGAGTTATAGAGACAAATTAAAATGGATAACAGGTGTTACAATGATCAACTTTAATTAATTACATCCGATGAATACAAATACTGATTCTCACTTCTTTGAGTAATTAAGCCACTTATACTACCTTCGTTTTCTGATATGATTCATGCTGAAAGCCCGACCATATTTCGTTTGTTTCTATGCTGAGTTTTTATACTTTGACGATGAAGCAGAAGCAACTGAATATGGTATAAGTTTTTTAACCATATTATTTATTAATGTTTGACAATAATATAGGGCACTATATATTATTAGCAAGCAACACCGTATCTTCGGACAAACGCGGTCAAAAATATTCAAACTTTGTCTCACAGATTAAGACTGCCGTTGCAAATGTGACTATACGTCCCATTGTTAACGATTTTAAACCATAAGGACATAAAGATTTTTGACGGCCAATATGATTTCATACATGTACACCTAAGTGAAATGCTGGCTACGTGGTTAATATGTTCGACTTATAATCACATGTGTGGCGCATATATATTTGGCGCACTCTTGTACCAGTACGTATGTGTACAAATAAATAAAATAAAAATATAGTCACAGTCTCGGGTTCGAACCTCGTCTAACCTCCCTATGGTCAACATACGTTTAGGCTGTCTCCGAACATTATCGTGTTCAGGACAAGACGGGATTAGTTTTCGAGCATCTGTTAATTCAATGGACGCCGGTGAAATCCACTGATTCTTCTTAACCTTTTGGTTTAAGTTGAGAGTATTTATCACTGCTGTATCCACAGCTTTTTGGATATCCTGTCAAGATAATTCGGGATGGATATTACTTTCATGGTTGATTAACTCGCTCCCCAATTGTTTCTGAAATATATTCATAACTTTTTCAGCATTAAGTTGAGCTCTAAGGGGTTTTCTTGCGGTGACGTTTCTATGCCCAATAAGATGCAAACAAATACGTGCTCGAACTAAAGCGTAATTTGAGTCCGCATATGTGCTCCAGAATGAGCGAGTCTTCAATCGAGCACTTGCTACGAAGGCTTATGTCATTGTGTTCCGTTTGAGTCCATCGATGAGTCGATTGTAGAGGTCGCCACATAAGACGATGTATCTGCTTATGTTTAAAGTTGATGTTTGCCAGAAATTGGCAGCTGCCCGTGCATAGTTGTAACAGTCATTATCTGTTCGCTAGGCCGCAACACCGTAAGATTCACCTAAGTGACTTTCAGTTTAGCCTAGTTTACCTAAGTGAGTTAAAGCGATGAAAAAGGCAGCGGCTGCAGGTAACACAAAACAGCTCTTCAGACTAATACAAAACTGGAACTAATAAGTCAAGTGTGAGTGAGGCGATCTTGGAAAAAGACGATACTCTTATCTGCTCTCAGCCCGAACGTTTAGAACGATGGACGTAACACTTTAGAGAACAGTTTAGCTGGCCTTCAGCTACTCTATGACTACCCACCATTCCCAGGCAGCCTGAATAGCACATTGAAGCAGGTCCCCTGACTCTAGCTGAAGTTCAAAAAGCTATACTTAATCTGAAACGAGGAATAGCAGCTGATTCAGATGGATTGGCTCCAAAGGTCTTTAAGTATGGTGGTCCAATTTTAGCGACTAGGTTGACTAATATTCTAGCTAAAATCTGGGAATTGGATGTAATCCTGTCTGACTGGTCGCAATCACTGATTGTCCCACTACATAAGAAGGGGTCGAAATCATCATGTGATAACCATAAAGGGGTTAATTTGACTAATATATCATCTAAAACGCTAGACTCAATTATTATCGGGCGTCTAACGAAAACTAGTAAACTAAAAACACGAGAAAATCAGATTGGTCCCAGATCTGGTCGTGGCTGCATCAACCATATATTCACTATTCATCAAGCATGCTTATCGGCGTCCTACAATGAGTTTTTCTTGACTTAAAAGCAGTATTTGACTCTGTAGACCGAGAGGTTTTCTGACAGTGTCTATCATTGAAAGGTGCACCCCTGAAGTATATAAACCTTGTGAAAGCTCTTTTCTCGAACACTATCAATCGAGTCAGAGCTTATGACGAAATTTCGTTCGATTTTGCAACCACAAGTGGTGTCCGTCAAGGTTGTCCACTATTGCTTAATCATAAACATACTGATGGAAATAACGTTCTCGTCGTCTGAATTGCCAGGGACCTATCTCCTAACAGGAAGTTCACTTATTGACTCATAATTCGTAGATGGCATAGTCCTGTTTGGTGAAAACGCTGATAAAATACAGTCTTTTGGTAGCACCGAGCAACAATACCATAATGTTTGGGATGCCTGGACACCGATTAATACGACACGCAATCCTGATTAGTGCTTGAGACGGTTGGGAGAAAGTTAGGGACGACCAAATCAAAACTTGGCACCAGTACTGGAAGTCACTAACTTCTGGTATGAGCCATGTTGATAGATGCGGACTACTTGGTTGGAGTCCGCATGACTATCGTAACCAATGGTTGGAGACTCTGAGTGACATGGCGCAGAATCGATCACACTATCTGTCTCCCCTTAAACTGTGAGATTAAAATATCTTTACATTTTTCCTTCTACCAACTAATTCTTTCTTCCTGTACTATATCCTTATACACAAACTTTCTTCTATATATATTTTTACCATTGAAGTATTTATTTATTTAAACACATTAACATTCGTACAGTCAGTCAGTAACAACGTAGAACTTCGTACGTACGTACATCAGTTCGAGTTGCCACACCACATTAGCACAGAGATGCCGTGGTCGATTCAAATCCCGTAGTGGTAGAGGTAATAAGAGTATAAGCAGTAATCGGAAAGATTAGTGTTTGGAGATGTTACTTAAAGAGTATAATACAGTGAAATAAACTTGGGAAGAGAAAAAAAAGAGACAAAGGGGAATCAGGAGCTCAAAATTTGGGAGAACACAAAGAGTGGATGCACCTGCGCCATTGCAAACGATTTTGAGCCATGTCATTCAAGGTCTCTAACCATCGGTCGCTATCATCTCGCGGTCCCCAACCAGGTAGTCTACACCTACCAACATGACTCAGACCACATTCGTACAAAGGGGTACAAAATCATTCGATTTGTGTGAGGGCTTGGATACTGCCCGAGTGCTCAAAACGAAGCAGATAGTTTTCATAGGGAGCCACACCCTAAGCCTTAGACCGAAAGGTCTGACCCACAAGGCAGTGGAGAAACGATAGATGTAATCCCATGGTAGCCGGTGACCAATGATAGGTCTATAAGCTATTTGTTCCCTCAGGATCCCAGAGCCCATGTACAATATTAGTTTGGAATCATGGTTTTTCAACTCCTCTAAGTAAACTCTCTGTGTCCACCAACTCGCTTAAAGAGCCAGACATTCGCTCTTCGTCCTCTCAATTTCGTAAAAAACACCCGACACATAAGGAAGTGAATAGGAATTTCCTGGTAGTGGTTATATGCATGTGGCCATGTGAAAGCATTTCGAGAGTGAGAGTTGACTCTCAACACTCTCGGCCGTACCAGGGCACTTGGGGTCACCATTGAAGTGACTGCTTCCATAAATTTGGTGTTCACCTTATTGTGATAATAAAGTGTGGCAATTTGGACCGAGGCACGCATGTGTCTGGTTCTGACTGAGTTTTAAAATCGCACGCCACTATTACTACATCGGAGCGTTTAGCTTTTCGGAAGGTTAGATATAGCGGCGAGACTCTAATTTAGGGACGACCTTTGAACGAATCTTAAATGACCTTGACAATTATTAGCCAATCAGGAGACAGTAACTATAAAGTGAAAATATATTGTATGTAATGAATTACAGTGGACATTCTTCTTTTACACGATTTAAAAACTTGTTAAGGTTTGATAAAGGTTCACAGGTTCTGAATTCATAATGCATATGGTATAGGAACTCGTCCATACGATTAGGGTTTAGGTTAGGGTTGTAGCATCTCAATAAACCTAACCCTAACCCTAGCCTCTAACCCTAAACCCTATGGACGAGTTTCTATACCATATACATTATGAATTCAGAAATTCTAAGCCTTTATCAAACCTTAAAAAGTTTTTAAATCAGATAAAAGAAGAATATCTACTGTAATTCATTACTTTCTTGTAATATATTTTTACTTTATATTGTCTTCTGATTGGCTAATAATTGAAATTGCACAAACGCTTCTGATTGGCTCGTCCCTAAATTAGAGTCTCGCCTGGCTTAGTATTGGTAGCAACGTTGTGCATGCATCTTTGCATGGGCTATCCTTAGATCCCGAGTTCCAAAATTATTTTAGCCCTAATTCATAGATGTAAATTTATAATTATATTCTCTAGACGGTTAGTCTTTAATGGTATTATCATTAACATCACTACAAACACGTCTGCTACTTAAGAATATATCTTAATAATTTCATATCGCTGTGTTGTGGTTTCTTGGACCGATATACATTTGTACCATGTTGCACGTTTCGTATGACTGACTAGCCAACTGCCGATAAACAAGAAGCACAATGTCTTATGAGTTATTAATAGCATGTTGTTGATCGTGTTTACTGTAAGCAAAACAAAAAAGAAATAACTGTTACTTATCGATGTTTTGAATACGATCTGTATCACATGTAAACGTTTGCATAACTTGAATTTCATCCTACATAAGTTGTACTAGACGATAGCACGAAAACTTTTCGTACAAAAAAGTAATGAAATGAGGTGTTTGAGAAATTCCTGAATACGGTCACTACTCATCTCTACGTCTACTGCAGACAAATCATGTTCCGAGAAGTTAAAAAATTTGAGACAAAAAGTCAACAAGAAATCAACTGATTTATACTATAAAGTCAAATAAAATGGATATAAAACGTTAGGTCATGACGAAGCTGTCCTCTAAAAATGATTTGATTTAATCTAGCCTACACCTTCCAACTGAATACTTGGATTTCATAGTAACTGCTATGAAATGTCAGATAGTTAACGTAAGACGAAAGTCAATTCTCGAAAGCAATATTGCGAATCATAAATAATAACTACCATCGAGATACAAAATAAACTGGAATAGTGCTTACTGTATGAGCAAACGGGAACAAGATCAGCCCGACTTTTTTGGCAACGTATGAATTATTGACAGAAAAGTAGTATTTTATGCGAAATCGATTAACGTATTGGTCAACCTGAAAACAGTTAGTTCTAAAAGAAGACCTTACATTCTTGTGAACAAAGTTTGCACCTTCATCTAACATAGCTGACCCATAACGGACAGCTAAGTCAGGAATAAATTGGTTTTGAATAAAAGACATCCCAGTATTACCATTTGTACGTGGTGCAGCAGGAACATATTCCTGACTACTAGGCTGGAAGTTGGCATAATACGAAGCTTATGCAGCGTTAATATTATCATCAATAACAACATACTTTCTGGGTAGTTTGGAGGATACCCGGGATTGTGATAAGCGCACATGATTAACGCGTACACCGCGTCACACGGTTTAGGCGCACTTATTACTCTGAGAACTAATGTTTAATAAAACGCTAGTTCTGAACGAAAAATTATTGATTAAGTTTTGAGAAGTAAATAATGATCTGAATATTTTAAATTATTTGTTTGACTACTTGACTGTCATAACAACATTAGTGCGCGGATAACGATGTCTAGCGTTAGCAATGAAGAGCAAGTTTCTAATGAAAGTGCACTTGAGAACGGTGATTTTTTGCTGAAACCGAATAGATATGCATTTGTCAGTGCTAAAGGCTTGTTACAGAGATGTAATGAAAGCGGTTTTAATATGTCTGTCAACGAACTGATTTTTTACTTATCCTGTCAAAATATTTTTTAGTTATGACCATTTAGTTCAAATGTTGTGTAGCATTCTGAAAAAGAGTGGTGATAACTCACTTGTAGAATTGGAGAACCTCAGTCGCAAAATTAAAAGGTATAAATGTTCTGCGGACTTGCACTTATTAAGATGTGCAAAAGAGGTTTCTGGTGATCTTGACTTAGCGCTTCGCCGTCGACCATACTTCACAGTTAGTTTTAAATAATGAAAATTTGAAAGTTTTTTGAAATTCATCAGGTCCCTCCCAAAGAGGTGCGAGGATCAGAAGTTTTACCTGATTTGTCTAAACTTTTCTTTGCTTTGGGTCAAGCAGGCATAGGTTTGTTTTATCATCTCAATAATACGTTTTTGAGTAAGGCTTTCCTCAGGAAGAAGTTATCAACCTCTTATTATCGATTCGATCGTTTCTAAAGAAAAGTTCACCAACTTTTGTTAGGTTTTGGGGGAAATATTTAGGAACTTCCCGGAATTATTACATTTTAGAGGTGGAACTGGAACCTGATGATAAAAATATCTATTCACCTGACACTCTCCCTAACTTGAAAGACAATGAAAGTACGGCACGATCAGATGCACAACTCAGCGAAACATTGGCGATTCTCGACATGGATCCGCTTCCGAAATCCGAATGGAAACCACAACCACCAGTTCCACCAGAAGAACATGGGAAAGGCACCAATAGAAAAACATACTTTGTTTGTAATGTTTTAGGTGACGATTGGGTCAGATTACCCGATGTTACGCCAGAACAGGTAAATGTTTCCAAACATGTTATATTAATGTTAGTATATTTGTAATTACTTCATCCATTTTTACGATTACACTTGATTAGAGGTTGTTTTAAAACAGAAATGATACCAGACAATTATACCTTTTGGATGAGGTGTAAGACAATCGCCTTTTCTGCAAGTGCCAATCACATGTATCATTTTCTGCATGCGTTGAGTTAAAAATTTAGAACTGAAGGAACAGGATCAGTCATCAATGATTACTCTAATTGCAACTTTAATTTAAACATGGTATCACTTTCTTTTAGTGGTAGAACTCTATATGGCTTATGCGATGTTTTGTTTTGCACACGTCTTACTCTTAAATGGTGCCAAAAGCTCTTACTGTTTACAGGAATTATTTGGTAATTATTAAATTTAATATTCCTTGAGGCACAACTTTAATCTTAGACATGAAACCGTGACTGTCACTTGTCACACTGCAAAGTTATCTCCCTTCAAATCTATTTTGTATGACAGGAAGTGGATGAACAAGGTCTTTTTAACAAATTCCTAGTCGGTCCCTCACATAAGTAGAACCCATTTCTGCCAATGAATAATTAGTCTCAAGAGTCATGTAGCCATGTTACTGATTAACCTAAGAAGTTTCCTTTATTCTAGGTTACAATCATTGTGATCAATAAGTGATCTATCAAGACTATAAGTTAACCAAAATTAATTGTAGTGATCATATTGCATGCTTCTTTCAGCATTTCCTTTCAACAGTTGCCAATTTTGTATCTTCAACTTTTATCCGTGCATGATCACGATCAGTTAGGCATATGCCAGATCACTCCCTCAATAGATGTACTTTCGTGTTAGATTCATTCTTAGCCTGTTGCCAGATTGTGCTTGAGGTAATAATTGTGTTTGGTTTTGGAATATTACTTCTTCAATAGTTACTGGCACATCGGTATTAGTAGTATAAATAAATACATGGGCTTGTTTGACAGATGCTTAATTTTAGAGTCAGATTAACTATCAAACCGTCTTACCAACTGCCGATTTACGAAATACATGCAAAAGAATTATCGATGATAATAGGTTAAGCGGGGAATCCGGACTTTGCTTACTTTACTATTTAGCATAACTAACAAATCATTGTACAGTAGTCATTTCAGTCTCTTAAAAAAACTTACCATTTTGAAATATTTAGCACAACCGTCTATTAAATTTAATCTCTATAATGGAATTCTTTTTTCGCTTCCTTCGGTACTTTTGGTGGTTAAACTCTGTACATTGAGTAAAACAATAGATTCTCGCGGGTCATATGGTTTCTGAAGACAACAATTCTCACTGATTATTGACGAAAGCTTACAAATTGCTTTTACTCAATGACATAAAAATTGACCATTCCTTTAATATCACTAACTGCTCGTGAGTGTCCTAGTGTTCAGTCCACTCACCATTTTAATAGACAATAATACGTACAGTGCAGATAAACTAAAGGTGTGTCGTACATCTCGTATGTTGGAGTTAAATCACTTTACATATGAATGCAACTAGAAAACTGACAAATCATGTGACTGAAACCATCTTTTTCTTAATAAGTAGTATCAGCTGTAAAGAAAGGTTTGTTTTTTCTATTTCTACAATACTCGATGGACAAAATATTTCCTTATAGTAGCAAATTTTAACTAGTGTTTAGATGCTATGAATTTTTACCAAACTGTATTGTATAACAACCACAAGTGTGGTGTTATTAATCCTTAGATTGTCACCAGTCGGATGATAAAATACCTTTGTACGGGTGATTTGGAAGCGGAAATTAATACATTTCCAACTTTCCCTGGAGTCGAAAAAAATTTTCTTCGGGCACAAATAGCACGAATATCTGGATCAACTACAATTTCTCCAATAAACTATTATCAATTTAACGAAGATGAAGAAGAAGAAGAACAAATAGAAGAAGATGCTTTGAGAGAAAATTTTATAGAGAATCCCGAATATGAGCCAATGACTATTTATGATTTGACTGATCCTACTTTAACTAATTGGGTTCATCATACAGCTTATATATTACCACAAGGTCGAACGGTTTGGTACGTTTCCATTTTTTCACCGTATAAGTTTGCGAATGAATCTACTGGTTACTGAATAAATTTCTATTCCAGAAAAATAAATTAGCTTTGTGACTGCGGACGAATATTGAATTTATTGTTGATAACTACTTTTATTTTCGAGTTTAGTTTAACAATGATTCGTTGCTAAACCACTCTAATATTTCCCGAAATGGAAAAACATGTAAAACAACACGTAATTTATTTTCAGAATAAAACAAAAACTATGTATAAAATATGTGATAAAATGTGTTCATATATATATATATATATATATATATATATATATATATATATATATATATATATATATATATATATATATAATTTTTGACAACATTTGTAGCGATTCGAGTCAAGCCATAAAGTACTTTGTGTGCTAGGGGAGCATGCAGACTAGCATGATCAAAGATAGTAGGAAAAGAGAACTAAAATAAAGGTGAATCGACGACCCAACAAGGGCACACAAAGCACTTACATTTGATAGCGAAAGTAATCGACAGTAATCAACAATAATACAAGCTTCAGCTTAAGACAATCTTTGAACCGAAACTGGAAGCAAATCGTTCAAACTGCTACACACTGTTCTTGTTTGAATATATTTATATTTAAAGCAATTAGTCCCTTTTATAAATTTCGATAAAACAATGAGAAGACGGAGTTGATCTGAAAAATGTGATGTATTTGCGCTATACATTTCGAACAAGTATATGTGTGACCAGATTGTTCGAAATGTATAGCGCAAATACATCACATTTTTCAGATCAACTCCGTCTTCTCATTGTTTTATCGAAATATATGTTATTAAAAGTCCCGTAAATCAGTGAAAAATGTTTTAATGGAAGTACTACTAATTACTCTACACCTTGCATATAGAACAATATAATAATTTATTCTGAAATCAATTACTGAATAAATGCCAACTCCTAAGCATTATCAGGATTATACAGTAAAGGGAAGAGAGATATTATTCAGTGACTTGAAATGATGCGCATCGTAAGTAAATTGAATCAACCAAGGAAAATATAGGCGCACGTCAACCACAAGAAGAAGTAATGTTGAATGTACTGAATAATACAGAAATTTGTAGATATGTCCAAACGTACTCTAGTAACGCAAAGTTGACTAGGACCTCAAGAATGTAAAATACCGTGAACTCATGTGCGCACATTTTATTGACATCATAAATAAAGCTTGTAACTGCGTATTAAGTATTTGTCAGTTAGAACAAATACTTCAACACTTCCACATCTTTGAGTAGGAATGAATTCTTCCATTTTTCAGTTCACTCCAATCAGTGAATGTAATTTTCTTGACTTTGATAAATCATCCAAGTAATAAGACATGTAAAATATATTTAACTGGTTTTTACTTACTTACCGACACCTGTTAGGTTCCGTGGAGCACTGACTGCCGAACAAAATTCTATAACTAACTCTGTCTTGGGCTCTGCTTCCCAATTTTTGTCAATTGCTATTCATTCCCTTCATGTCTACCTCAGATTCCCAGCTCAATGTGTTCTTTGATCTGCCGCTTTCCCTTTTACCTTGAAAACAACGAGTTATCACTTGCCTCGTGATCCAGTTTGATGATTTCCTCGGTGTATGTCCTATCCACCTCCACCGTCTATTCTTAACATACTCTTCAACTAAAGGTCAATTTGTTCTTTGTCACAGTAGATTGTTGCTAATGATGTTTGACCGATGGATATGGGGTATCTTGCAAACACAATTGTCTATAGATGGCTGTACTCTCTTGATGGTGGTTGTAGTAATTCTCCAAGTTTCATACATCTTC